CCGCGGGCGGGCGCTGCGCCGCCGCGACGCAAAAGAGGAGCTCGACGCTGTTCTCGACGTGCATGTCCGCGTCGCCCTCGCAGCGGCGATGCTCGTACCCAAACCTGCCGAGCCAGTGGCGCGAGCCGAGAGAGCCCGACCGGAACTTGCGCGGCGCAGCCCAGCCAGGCTCGGGCGCGAGGGCGGTGGGCGGTGGCGTTGTCTCGCCGCTGCCGCCGCACGACGGCGGTGGCCAAAAGCAGCTCGGCGTCGCCGGCGGCGCGCGCTGCACAATGTCGAGGCCGAGGCGAGCGGCGTGCTCGTCCACCGCCCACGTACGAGGCTGGGAGCCGCAGAGGGTCAGGTGGATCGTGCCCGACGCCTCGAGCAGCGCCGCGGCCGAATCAAGGAAGTGCGCAACCAGAACGCTGTGCCTCTGCGCGTGCGCCGCTTCGTCGATCAGGTCGGAGAGGCCGAGGTGAGGGTGGCAAAAAACGACATGGGCGAACCGGCCGAGGCTCAGCGGCAGGCGAGTCGCGTCGATCCCGTGCAGGACGGTGGCTCCGCGCTCCGCAAGCTCGGCAAGGATCTTACCTGTATTGCGGTACGTCGCACAAAGCTCGTCGGCGGCGGGGAGCGTGGTTGCCACCAGGCTGACGTCGGCGCCAAAGGCGCGCTGAAGCGCGAGGCTGTAGGATAGGTCGCCGTCGCCAACGGTGAGTATTCGCATACGGGCGCAGAGAGCGGAGCCGGTCGAGGCGGACACCGTACTGCTGCTGCTGCTGCTGCCAGGAGACTATTGCGTAAGCTCGCCCTCGGCTTTCGCGACGACTTTCCTGCCAGCTTACACGAGCCGCTTTCCGCCCGGACCGGACGCGCAAACGGTGAGACCCACACACCGCGCCGTGTGTTGTGAAGAAGAAGTGTTGTGTGTTGACTGTTGTGTGAGCATAACGCTATGTTGTGTGAGCTGGGCGCCCGCAGGTACCTATCGCCCTCGCCGCCGCAGCCCTCGCCGCCGCAGCCCTCGCCTCACCGCTCGCAGAAAGGCCGCACGCAGCGCCGCCGCGAACCGCAGCGTCTCGGCGACGGTGAGCGCGGCGCAGGTGCTTTGCCGACAAGAAGCGCCCGCCTCCTTGGCGAGGGTGAGCAGATCCTTCGCCGTCTCGAACTCGCCCATGTGGTTGCATCCGATCTCCGCCATGACGTGCGGCTGCTTGAAGTCGATGCGAGTCATCGTAGAAGTCTGAAAGGACGACCGCTCCTGCGTGTCGTGGCAGCAAGGGCCTCTCTGGGCCGGCGCGGGGGGCCCAGAGGGTGTCCATGCGGGGGGGCGATGGGGTCCCATGGCCCGCCGCAGGCGCCGATTTGTTTGCTTTTTCTTTTTTTGCGCGATTTTTCAGTTGTTTTCACGGGAATTCGTCGTACTTGCGGCCATGCTATCACGCCTTGCGACATCCTTTCGGCGCTGCTGACCGTGCCGTGCTGCACAATTGATCACCTGCATAGCTCGCGGCCTTAGTATCAAGCATTCAGTGACGACCTGATCGTACGGCCAGTAGGAAGGTCAAGGTGTCCTTCCATCGTGTGCACGCTTGGTGCAATGCGCGTCGCCTCGGATTGGCTGCTGGCACTCTCGAGGCTATGCCTACACAGCCTCGCGCGCATGGGCAGTCATGAAGGACCACGCACCTTCTCAGGACAACGCCGGTGCCTCTCTCTTGGACCGGCAAACTTTGTGGTCTAGTGTCACCAATATGGGACCAGTGCGGCATCGCGCCATCGACAGCTCTGAACTGCGCCTCACCACTGACCGGGGAGGCCGCCAAGTGGGCCAGCACCGGTCGCACATTGTGGCAGCAGTCAGCAGTCCATGGCTGATAGCTAGAGCAGCAGCGTCAGGGTCGCAGGGTCGGATCGTGTCAAGCCTCTCGCCCGGCCGGCCGCGTGCAGACGTCGGCCTGTCTGCTGTCTGGAGTGATCTGTCGGCGGTCAGTACGACCGATCAGGTTGGAGGTTACTGATGATTGGAGGGTCTATCTGTGTGTACTCCTCGAGATCTTTCCAAATCTGCCATCTAATCAACCGTAATCATTCGGGAAGTTGGTGCTAATAGAGACTAATAGAGCCGGAGCCCCGTTTCCGCACACTGCGGCGCGGCGCACGGTGCCTCCGGGGGCCCCCGCGCCCCCCCAGAGGCAAGGGCGATAGGTGGCGTCTCTCGAGGTCTCGACTTCTCCGTTTTATTGCCTATTTCATCGCCGGCCGTTCACGGGTTTCACAGAGGTAGGTAGGTAGAAAGGTGAAGAACAGCCAGGCTCGGACTGGACACCAACGCGGTATGGGTGGACGCTGGACAGATGATGACGACACGCACGAGCGACACACAGACACAAACAGGATCACAAGACACACAGCCAGCTGGCTGCCACACACCCTGAGTAGGCGTACACATAACTCAAGGCCACATCCTCCCTGAGGGAGGGTGTAGAGGATGTAGAGTGTAGAGCGCTGTAGAGCTGTAGAGCTGTAGAGCGCTGTAGAGCTGTAGAGCTCTACATCCGCCGCGTGACGATGCGCCTGCGTTGTAGAGCATGTAGAGGCGCTCTACAACGTGAAATCTCTATGCAAAGATGGACGGACGGAAAACACCCCCCTTCTATGCCTGACCCTGGGCATGCCTCTCTGGGGGTGAGCTGGGTCGGCCACCTCCGGGTCTGCAACTCGCACGGTGGGTCCGCTTCCGGGCGAGCATCCGAGGCCTGCGGTTGTCCCTTCGCTGGGCGCGACCGCCATGGAGATCCGCTACACACAGATCAGTGTTTTTGGCGACTATTGCTCGCTCTCTGTGCAATCGCAACGCCAGAGGCCGTGCTTGGAGAATGGGTCGCGATGCTGCTGCGCCAGTGGATTGAGCCGCTCCGCACACTCCATCGGTGAGCTGCGGTGGCGCGCCGGCCGCTTCATGCATAGCTCTCGGGCGAGCTGCCGCAAACGCGTTTTCCGTCCGCCCGAACATCGTGTTTGCCCGAGTGGTAAAATGCAATCGAAGTTGCCCGAATGGTAACACCGTGTTTGTTATGACCCCCCCCCCATGAACACACCAGTGAGGGAGGGCGAGACGATCGAGGGGTCCCGTACCATGCGGAATCGACCCCATCCAGTGCTCAAGTGCTCAAATCTCTACAACAAACTCTACATCAAAAGCGGCGAACGAGGCACGGTCGCTCTCCGACATGAGGCGCGTTGCACTTGCCAGTGCTGCCCTGGCCTTCTGACTGCCCGCCCAATGGGTGGCAGGTGCCTCTGCTGCTGTGGCATGCCTCACGGCTGCGACTGGCCGGCGCCTCGGCGCGTCAGCTCGGCTCGGCGTAGCGATAGTGGCCAGCGCAACTCGCCTGGACTCAACGCTCAGCCAGGAGCTCCCGCACGCGCTGGCGCGAGTCATGGCGCATGCAACGCGCAGCAATGCTCGCCTCGCCTCGCGCAAATGCGACCGTCCTCGCAGCCGACAGTCCACCGCCTGCTACAGAAGCACTGCGACGAATGCGGCACCGGCGACGCATGGCAGGCTGGTCATGACGCAGTTATAGGGTGTTGTGTGCCGTCAGAGTGACTCTCTGTGTCTCAGGGATAGTCAGGGCCGTCCATCAGAGCTCCAGTAAGCTCGGACACACCCCATTAGCGCGGCTTGACCTCTTTGAGTCACTGCCTTCCCGCGGTTTTGCTGTAGAGCCTCTACAACAAGAACTCTACAACAAAATCGCGCTCTACATCGCTCTACAACGCAGGCGCATCGTCACGCGGCGGATGTAGAGCTCTACAGCTCTACAGCGCTCTACAGCTCTACAGCTCTACAGCGCTCTACACTCTACATCCTCTACACCCTCCCTCAGCATCCTCCCTGCCTGTCGCCCCCCCCAGCACTCCAAGGTGCCAAGAGAACAAAGAAGGGCACAACAAACAACAGACAACAGGAAGTGACATTCGAGGCTAGAGCAAGCTTGCTCTACCTCCAGCAATCTCTCCGGCCGGCGAGGCACGGACGAGACCGTGTGTGGGGTCTAGCTAGTGAGGTGTCTATGGACGCCCTCCTCAGAGGCTAGCTGCCTACGACTAGCCCTATCTCGCCCTCACAGGTGATGACAATTCAATGTGTGAGTGTTTGCAAGCAGAGGCACGTGTGCTAATTCTAGGCCGCTCGTCGTGTCACAGACAGGGCTGCGAAAAAAGAAAGAGGTGTGTTCGAACGACGAAGGTTGGCCGCCCAGCCCACCCAGCCCACTCCGCCCCCCACCGCCATCTCACCCGTTCGAACGACGAAGGTTGGCTGGCCGCCACACCTCGGTTCGATGGACCGCGAGTTCGAGGAATACGAGAACGCCATCATCGCGCAGTCCGTGAGCGCAGAGGCGGCCTCGTACGCCTGGTATCTCGCGCGGGCGTGCAAGGAGCCCTGCCCCGGGCAGCGAAGCGCGTGGGACGGCCCCGACGTCGATGCTGCCGTGGCTCCGTGGTCGGTGCTACTCTCGGCGGCGTCTCCGCTCGGCGCGCACTGCATGGTGCGGCTGCGTGGCACCTGCATCGCGCTGCGCGGCGGCGTCAACACGCCCTCCTTCCTCGAGCGCATGCTGGAGTCGGCCGGCTGCTGCGGCGACCTGCGGCGCACCCGTGCCTCCGTCCGCGTCTCGCCTTGGCGAGAGCTCGACGTGGTCGGCCTGTTCAGCTTGTGGGCGAGGTGCGGCGAGGTCTAGCCGAGATCTGGGAGACGTGTGGTGGACAGGACCTTGACCCCGGCCTGCCACCGCCGCCGCCGCCGCTGCCGCCGCCTCTCCCAGACCTCACCGTCGTCTCCGCTTCCTCGCTCATCTCACCCTCGCCCGGCGTGTCGCAGGGTGAAGCGGCAGCGCGACCTGCTCGAGGCGCTCGGCCGCGCGGGCGGCGTGGTGGCGGGCGGCTTCGCGCTGCAGCGCTTGCTGCTGATCAGCGAGGGGGCTGCGCTCGGCGCGTGACCCTCCTCCATTCCCGTTCGCTGTTCGTGCCCGAACCAGTAACATAGGTGCGGAACCAGTAACATAGGTGCGGGTCGGTCCGTAGAGCGACTGGGCAAGCGAGTCGACCTCGACGTGTACGTCTCTGGCGGCGAGGCCTTCCTGCAGGCCGAGATGCAGCCGAGATATCGCCGAGGTGTAGCCGAGATGCAGCCGAGATGCAGCCGAGATGCAGCCGAAATATAGCCGTGTGCGACTCTGCGCCGTGCAGACGGCGGAACCTTCCCGGGACCTCCTCGGACCCCTCCCGGTGCTCGGAACCTGCTCGGAACCCTCTCTCTCGGAACCTGCTCGGAACCCTCGCTCAGGTGCTCCGCATCGCGCAGAGCTGGCTCTCCGCGCCCGAGCGCCGCAGGCGAGGAGTCTGCCTCCTCCGATCCCTCTCAACAACCTCTCCGTA